GGCCAAGCAGTATTTTAAAGAATACAGTTTCCGTGTAATTATTCTGGGGCTAAGCTAGCCGGTGGCTGGGAGCTGGGCGGGAAGCGGCTCGCATCTCCTACTACACTTGCTCAGTTATACTCTGTTATTGTATAACAAGTTGCTTAGATATGAATGTATGCAGATCTTTGGAAATCATTTGCGTTTCTTTTTTTCAATACAGGGATTCTCTGTATAGCCATGGTTGCCCTGTAACTCTGTAGACCAGGTTGTCTCAAACTCTCAGAGATCTGCCTGGTCCTGCCTCCAAAGTGCTGGTGTGTGCCACCACCACTCAGCTTGTTTTTCACATATAAAATGTAAAGGGTTTAATTATGTAAAGGAAATGAGAAACAAGCTGTTGTATACTTGTATTCATTGCAATTCTTCACTTGAAAAATAAAATATAATTGCACTGTTTTTATACTGCTTGAAAGATTTTGCTGGGGTGTATAAACTGTAATGAAATGAAAGAGATTTGAGAGACCCTGACATGGTGGAGATATCCATGTGTGTGTGTCCCGACCAGTGGGACATGAATAGGAGTATGAACCTGGAAGAGAGTGGAATGAAGGGGCAAGAGACATGCGAAACGGACAGCAAGTCTGTATTCTGATCAACTTTATTCTTTTCTCAGGAGCATTATATAGCAAAAGGCAGGGGGGAGGGTAGGATGCTGAAATGTCATTGATCTAACTGGAATGTCAGGTCTGGAGATGTCCCTAGCTGATAAGAAGAGATAAGGAAATGCTGAGGGTCTGTATGTGTTTACTAATAAGGGAAATGCTAATCACTTCTGGTGCCTGGGATCTGCAGGTCACCAGGCAATCTTAACTCACAGGGAGATAAGGGTTATCCTAGGCCCCTGACTTGTCCTATGGAGGCTTCTGAATAGCTTACTTAATTTGTGACTAAGATAGCTATAACCAAATACAGCTCTTTGCTTCCAGCATATGTGTGTGTATGTGTGTGTGTGTGTGTGTGTGTGTGTGTGTGTGCATGTGTGTATGCGTGTTTTCCTTTTTCATTTCCCCAGAGAATTATGTTTTACTCCTTTGAGAAAAAAATCTATTGTGTGATCAATTGCTGACTCCATACCTCCTCTTTGGTTCTTAAACTGCTGAGAGCTGTTTTGTCAGTAGCATTACTGGTAATTTTTAACTCTCATATGGGGAATAGCAATCAAACCTGGGTCCTCTGGAAGAGAAGCCAGTGCTCTTAATTACGAGCCATCTCTCCAGCCCCTCATTTCCCCTTTTTCTTACTTTTTTAACAAATGTTTGCATTTCACATGGTCTCTGAGATTAAACTATTTCCTAATGTTTGCATTGCCATGGAAGTTTTACATAAATCTAACAAAACTTACTATAAAAAATTATTTTGGATTAGTCTGAGGTGGCTTGCTAGAATATGTTGCCAAAACTCTAGGGCCTACTCAGCCCTAGAGACAGAGAGTCTCTATGGGCTATGAGGTCTGCTCTCTCACATCAGGGTTCCTGCAACCTTCTCTCTTTGCAAGGTGAGTAAAGCGATGTCTATTCAGCTCAGCCAATGAATTGCAGATGTGTCTTTTCTTAGAATGGGCCAACCAAAGGCCCATAACCTCATTGGAGGCGAAAGACGTGCCTGATGATCGGACACACTGATGCCTTGTCTTGATTGTATAGTTGATGGGAACTTTGGCCGGCTCACCCAGGGTTGAGAGAGAACATGGTATAGTACATGATCACAGTTAAAAACTCCAAAGTAGAGAGATGGCTCAGCAGTAAAAAGCCCTGGCTGCTAGTGCACACCTCTATTCCCAGCACTCAGGAGGCAGAGGAAGATGGATCTCTGTGAGTTAGAGACCAACCTGGTATACAGAGTGAGTTCCAGGACTGGCTTCATCGCTACTCAGAAACCATGTCTTGAAAAACAAAACACAACAAAAGCATTGGTGGATCTTGCAGAGGACCATGGTACAATTCCTAACACCCCTATGGTGACTCACAACCATCTGTGACTCCAGTTCTAGGGACTATGTGTTTTCCTCTTCACATCTCTGTGGCCACACACACACACACACACACACACACACACACACACACACAGTGTAGAGACACATCCTGCCAAAACAATCTCATCCTGTCCCCAGCTCTCTCCCCTGTCCCCAGCTCTCCCCCCCCCGTCCCCAGCTCTCTCCCCCTGTCCCCAGCTCTCTCCCCCTGTCCCCAGCTCTCTCCCCTGTCCCCAGCTCTCTCCCCTGTCCCCAGCTCTCTCCCCCTGTCCCCAGCTCTCTCCCCCTGTCCCCAGCTCTCTCACTCTGTCCCCTCACCCTTTCTCTCCTCCTCTCTCAGGTTGTCTTTAGATTTCCATGTCTTCATGTTTCTCTGTGTGGCACCACGTGCTTACTAAGCACCTAAAAATTTGCCAGGTCGTGTGCTTCCTGGAACTCATTTCCATCCCATGATGCACCTGTAACATTAGCACCTCTCAGTTTTCCAGATGAGAAAATTTAAGTCCCAAAGCTGTGTAGACACTAACCCAGTTATCTTCCTTTCAAAACAAAACCAACAACAATCTGTGATATGCATTCCAGTTTGTCAGACTTAAAACCAGTGTTTTTGTACAACTTGCAGTCACTTCCTAGAGTGGGTCCCTGGGAACCAGTACAGGAAAGTGTGATGAATTTACCAGTAGAAGAAAATCTGAGATGCAGAATCTGGAAGTTGTTGTTGGTCATTCTGGTGAGCTGTTATTTGTGGGATCCCACGTGTGACTCAGTTTCCTTTTGGGGTTATTTCTGACTTAAAGAAGTCATTTGAGTTCAAGCTTGCCTGAAATGCTTTTTTTTCCAGTAATGCTGATGGCTGTGGGTAACATCTTGTTAGCCTGTAGAAAGAATATTTTTGCCCAGATGAAAGAGTACATTTTTCTACTAAGATTTGGGCTGTTGTATGCCAGCCAGAAGCACTCCTCCTTACAGATTAGAAGTTGCTTAGTTGAATGAGATGATGTACCTGCTTGAGCTTCCTCCCAAGGACAGTGCAGGGAGGAAGTTAGCTGACTGAACTGCCCTTCATTCTGCCTTTTGCCTGTAATTAGCATTTATGCTGGATGAGAAATAAACTTGGGGCTGTTTGGTATTTGTAACTGGAGACTGCTCTTTTGTTTCCAGTTGCCCAGAACCAAACAATCACACAGAAACTAAATTAATTACAACACTACTTGGTCCATAGCTTAGGCATATTTCTACCTAGCTTTTTTATTTTAAACTAACCCATTTTTATCAATCTGTGTATTGCCACAAGGCTGTGGCCTATTGGTAAGTTTTCTAAGGTTCCAGTGTGTTCTTCTCCACTGGCAGCTACATGGCGTCTCCTTGACCCCATCTACTTTCTCTCTATAGCTCTGTTCAGATTTCCTTCCTGGCTTTACTTTGCTCAGCCATTGGCTGAAACAGCTTCTTCTATTATCCAGTAAAGGCAACATGTAGACAGAAGGATATCCCTCACCAGGTATTTACTTTCAGTCCTCCTGGTCTACCCTTTGTTTCTGTCTTCATTTCTCTTAATCTAGCATTTCCTCAGCCTCAGCACCCCTCCCAGGGTACCCCCAGCTGATTTCTGTCAGAGTGGAGTTAGACAGAGTGGCACCCAACTTGGGGCTGGGCATGGGATGGGTGGAAGAATGCAGGGCACCACAGGATAAAAGAGTACACTCAGAGAAAGGGAGGTCTGTGGTGAGCTTTACCAAGAGCCGTGTGGTGTAAATACAAAGGTAAGTAAATGCACACGTGTACATACAGGAAAAAAGAGGTTAGGTGTGAACCATGGAAAGAATAAGAAGTGACTCGAGTCTAAGTGTAAAATAAGTAAGAAATAACTTGAGTAAGAAGTAACTTGAGTGTAAGTGTAAAAGTAATTATGGACCAAAGAAATAGTACATTTACTTAAGACATAATAAAATTCAGAAGTGCTTAGGAAGGGAAACAGCAATTGCTTCAGCTTTTGAAATGTGTAAAGGATGTGTGCCCTGGTTCTCTGCAGAAGGGAATGAGTCTAGAAATTTAAAAAAGTTGTAAGTGAATGGGCACTCTTTGTCTTGGTCTGTGTTTTGACAGGGGGCATGCATGCCCAAGTGGGCAGAGTGGGTACTACAGGGAGACATGCTCATGTGAATGGGGCAGCAGGGAATTGACTGCTTGTAGTTGAAAAACTGCACGAATGTGAAACAGAGAATCTTTGCTTGTGGCTGGAGAAGTTAGCCATTTTTTTCAGGAGCATCGGCAGCCAAGGACACTCTCTGTGCCCACCAGCACTGCTCCCCCTCTTTTTTTTCTTCACTGTGGTAACTCTCATGGTCTCTTCCCTGGTCGGTAGTTTTCCTTCTTAAGCCTTCTAAGTCTTGATACTGCTTGAAAAAGTGATGATTTATACCAACCTATAAACTTTGGGAAGTGTTTATTGTAAAGTAAAAGTCAAAGATGCATTATTTTTGGAAAAAGTATGCTTTAATTTCACACGAAAAGAAAAATATATGGGTTTTAATCATTTAGATCCAATGGGTTACAAATACTTGTCATCTTTTTAAAGAAATTGGGTACAAATTATTATTGACTAAGATAAAGAAATCTGCTTATAGTTTCAACAGTTCTATATCAGTGCAGGTTTTTATAGCTAATGTAAATTTAAGTTATTATTAATAGGCTATATACATATGTATATTTTGCTCTTGTTTGAAATGCATCTATGTAATGTTCTGGACTGCTGGGAGAACTAACGAGAGAAGACATTGATGGAGACTCACATGTTGACTGAAGAACAAGGGGCCAAACAAGATACTGAAATGATATAGGAAAAGGACTTTGTTTAGGTGCAATGCTGAGTTTAAAGGGAACTGTAGAAAATGATGAGACTTAACCATGTTAATACTGGTTGATTTTCTTCATTGAAAAGCCTGGTGAACAGCAAAGAATTGTTACCGCTTCTCCACTTGCCACGATGGTAACAGAGAAAGGAGATAAAGGGGGCACCAAGTGTGTCGCTGGCCCAGGTTCACGCCTAGCTCTCCTTACAACCATTCCTTGGGTTCCTCAAGGGCCCCTGGACTCAGGTGGCCTTGGCACATGTCCTTTTGCTGTAAAGCAGGCCCTGATTCCACAGAACACCAACAGAGAACTCTTGCTTGTGTAGTATTCGTGCCCCAAGTATCTACTCGTTGCCTGTGAGAAAACAGCTCACAAACTGAGAGACAGTCAACAAAATACTTGACGGGCACCTGACCAGATGCTCTGACGTCACGAAAGATGAGAAGAGACAGAGAAAGGCACCACCACAGAGCTCAGAAGACTGGAGAGGCACGGGGCAGAATGGACTCCGGTTGGATTAGAGCCTTCAGTGTGGATTCTGGGTAGTGTTTGAGGCATTCCATGGCATGAAGTTGGGTAAAGAGGAGATTGGTGCTTCCATAGTAATTGTGACATTTGCTGTAATTCTATCACCTTTCTAAATGAAAAGGAGTTCAAAGAAGCTTCCAAACAAAGCAGTCATTTTCCCCTGAAAAAAAAAAAGAAAGAAAAGCCTGGTGATTCTTCACTGCAGAATATTTATGCTAAAAATGTGATCACATTCTTTAAAGGTGAAAGGAAGACTGAGGCCCTAAATGCAAGTTAATAACTAATCATCATATTGCAGCCCTCTTTGTTACAGGATTCTATATGATTGGCCTCCTATGAAATAACAAGGCTAAAACTCTTAGCTATTCAGACTTTCATAGAGAAGTCCAAACATATTTATTAAAAACTGTCAGCATCACATCTATGGTTGGTAAATAAAAACTGCAGTTTAACTGCTCCTATAATTGTAGTAATAGGATAAAATGCTTATATTATGAGTGTATATAAATTATGAGCATCTAAAAATATAAAGTCCTGAGGACATCAATACAGTTTGTAAGGTTATGAAGGCATTAAAGCTTGGCTTATTGCCTGTGAGAGGATATTCTGAAAAATAGAAATACAGTTTATAAGAAACAATGGCTTAAGATGAATATAGAAATTATTACAGAATTTCTTTTTCCTTCCATCATATTATTATACTAGTATTTCAGAAGTACAGCGTTTAACATTAATAAAGATATGACAAGCTAGTTGAGCAACTACTGCTTGCTGTTTGGGTCACAAGCTCAAGATTGTAAATTTCTTTTGGTTGTTTTCTGCATACAGAATTATGTGCTGTTTAACCCAAATCTATAGTTTTGCTAGGACTCAAGGATGTGAGTCTACTCCTGCTGTTTTACAGATACCTGTTCCATGCTTTTCCCACAATATGGATTTCAATGCAGATTGATAATGCTAATATATCTAAAACTTTTATTTTTTTTATAAAATGGTGATTCATACAAACTTCAGAAACTTCAGAGAATTATAAAACTTAGATTCATTTCTCACAAGTTAAAAGGATTATGGCATTTTTTTTTCTGTCTCTTGGTCTTGGGACTCTGCCTCTCCCTCAATTACTGAGACTATAAGTTTCCAATTTTCAAATGAGTTCCTAAATTTTAACTCCTGTTTCTCATTTGTATCTGTCTTAACAGGTTATTCCTTGGCTGAAAAACACAATCAAGCTTAAGTTGCTGATGACAACCTGCTCCAACTATGAGTCTGAACTTACTGAAATCTGGTGTGGACCAACCTAGCCAATGTGATTGCTGTCTCTTCAGTTTGTCAATGAACCAGATGCTTCTAAGTTCCCTCATTGCCTTTGACTGACATTCTGGCCTTCCAGGACCCTGAGAACAGTGTCCTAAGGTCATCCAGAAGTAATTACAGAAATGAGTATGTCTTGATGGGGGAGGGGGAGAGAAATGGGAGGCGGTGGCTGGGAGGAGGCAGAAATCTTCAATAAATAAATAAATAAATAAAAGAAATGAGTATGTCATCCCTATTTCCTCCCTGGAATGTTAGATAAAATGGAAATTTCTCAAATGTTGAATGGGTAATCTCCAGTGTATTAGATCTTATTAATCAGATAAGCTCTACCAATGGACCTGTTGTCTTGTACCCATCTGTTCTTATTGTCTCTTTATCAGTCCTCTTAGGTCATACAAAAGTTGCATGTCTTAAACAATGTATTTGTATTTGTTATGGGAAAGGTGTGAACTACAGATTAGTACTATATTATTTTAATGGATTTAAAGTAATTTATAAGTATGATTAGTGTAATTTTTTAAAACGCTATATATTATAAAAGACATATCCTATGAAATATGCCACTTTACTGTTTAAGAATTCTATTAGAAGGACTTATCTCATTCTCAGAACTGATTACATTCCTGATGCAATCAGCAGCACTTTGTAATTTTCTTTTTTGGGGAGGGGGCAAGACATTTGTATGAAGTGCATTTGTGTCACTCAGAATATGCACTTTAAGGCTACACAAAAGCAGCTTGCTGAACAAATCACTCCATGGCTCATTAAAGAACAAAACTTTCTGAAATGAAAAAAGGGGAGGGCAGAATTTCTCTTATAGCTATCACAGTCAGTGTGGTCATTGATGCCTTGAATAAACAATAATTCCTGTCTGGGTACCATTAAGCTAATGATGCTAAAACCCCAATATCAGCCTCTGGAACAAATGATGGGGAAGCTCAACCAATCACATCTAGTTAGGGTTTTGGCGCCTTGAGCCCAGGTAGAAAAACCAGGGTAGGTAGGTACACGCTCTGTCTACGCAGTGCTCACCGGACCATTTTGGATTTCAGACCTCCTACTCTTTTAGCGTGAGATCCCCCTTTTTCAATTATTAAATTATGTCTGTTGTTCATGAGATGGTCTGGTTATTTATCGTACTGACCGAATATGCCAATACATACAAACAAACTCATCTCAGGGATTTGAGATCTCAGGGAAAGGAATTTTGAAAGGGCATATGGGAGTCTTAAGGCTCAATTAAACATAAAATTAAAAAGGGTGAGTTAGGGTTATACTCATAGTCATCATATTTGTGTTTTTTCTTAAATTTTTAAATGTGGTTATCTGTGAACAATCTGCCATGTATATATTTTGGCATGAAAGCACCACCACATAATTTTCTCAGGCCTATTAAATGATCCATCAACTGGTTTATTAAAGGGTCCCAACACTTTTGTGGTATGGGGAGAGGGCATGTTTGTGGTTTTTACAGGATGAAAATAAATCTCAATTGGTACGGTGTGTGGAGCAGAGATATACCGATCCTGATGTTGCTGCTGAGAATCCAGAAAAGCCAGAGTGAGACTCACTGGGCCTATGTTCCTTATCCACCAATTTTACATCCTGCTGTTTGGTAAGGAAAAGAAATTGTTGTCACAGTCAATGATACTCATCTGTTAGACTGACCTTCCACACAAGAGTTCCTGATTACTTGAAAATTTTCTCATGTTTGGGATGATACAAACTAAATGTTAGATTATAGATAAAAGCAATGCTCATGCATATGGGTGTTCTGTAGTCAGTGGGATATCCAAAGAAGGTGAATATAATTTAGGCTCTTCAGCAGAAAGCAGGTCCAGTCTTTGATGGACCGAATGTCAGAGTGTTGTTCCAAAGCATATTTATAGTTTGTTAGAGAAAAGTTGTTTTATGAGTAAAAGAAATCCTCATACAAATACCCTCTTGATCTGTTCTGTATGTTTGCTGAAGGAAACCATCAGACTCCTGAAATTTTAGTCCTTATGTGTACTGTCTGCAGTACACAATAATTCAAGACTCTCCAGGTATACCAGGATGGTCCTGTCATCAAAGTCATGCAACAGATGAAAAACTCCGTAAAAAAACAAAACAAAACAAAAAACAAAAAAAACCTCTTTAAATCATGGAAAACAATCACTGTTCCAGATTATGATTATTTTCAAGGTCTAAGAACTTCCAACTATTACATTCTATTGATACTAGATACTACTAGAAACAAATGTTACATTCTAATGTTTAGACACAATGACTCTATTAGATTCCCACTACAATACCGCTCATTATAACTACACCAGAGACCCAATATGTTTGAGTGCTTGGTCTCCAGTTTGTGGCAGTGTTTGGGAAGGATTAGGAGGTGTGGCCTTTATAGGAAGTGTGTCGTGGAGAAAAGCTTTAAGATTTCAAAAGTCCACTCATTCCCAGTTAGCTCTCTTTCTCTCTGTCTCATGCTTGTGGATTAGGATGGTGACTCTTCATAGCAATAGAAAAGTAACTAAGGCACCAGGCAAGTGCTCTACCACTGTGGTTTATCACCCAGTCTTTAAGGGTTTTATTTAAACATAGGGTCTTCCTAAGTTACTTAGGCAATGGGTGATGCTTAATCTCAGCTTTCCTAATGCAGAGATGAGAAGCAAGGGTGACTATGTCCTTCCTTAGACCTTCCTTTCTTAAAAAGATTTCACTTCTCTTTACTGGAGAGAGAGATGGAGTGAGAGAAGGGAAGCTGCATCCTTCTTGTGAAGTTCAGCCAATGCCTTCTGATTTTGGCAGCAGAGTTATACTTCAGTGATTCAGGAAGGAGAAAGGTCAGGAAACCATGGTGATTTCAGCCATTGCATCTGTACTTTTCTGACCTTGGCAAGGTGCCACAATAGACTTGAATGACCCTGGGACCTTTGTCCTGCCAAGCGGGGTGATCTGGCACTGAACTTGCGTCATTATTCTAATGCAAGATTCCCACTGGGAGCCATGAACTGCATTTCATACAGTAGCTGTCATAATTTTCACGTTTTGGGGGAGATATATTGCCTTGACCTACTATTAGAAGTACATATGTGTTAAGAACCGCCTAGGCAGTTTGGATGCTCACCTTACTAGACCTGGATGGAGGTGGGTGGTCCTTGGACTTCCCACAGGTCAGGGAACCCTGATTGCTCTTTGAGCTGATGAGGGAGGGGGACTTGATCGGGGGAGCGGGAGGGAAATGGGAGGCAGTGGCGGGGAGGAGGCAGAAATCTTTAATAAATAAATAAATTTAAAAAAAGAACCTTTTTCTTAGGCCACACAGTGGATTAGAACATCAGCCTGGGATACAGAGGGAGACCTTGTCTAAGACAAAGAGACCAACATCCAAATGTATTTTGATATGGGACTCCCCTCTGTATGCTGTGAATACCATTGGTTAATAAAGGACTGTCTTGGGCCTGCACAGGGCAGAATAGAAGTAGACAGGGAAAACTAAACTGAATGCTCAGAGAAAGAAAGTGCAATCAAGAGAAGCCATGTGGCTGCTGCCAGAAACAGACATGACAGAACCTTACTTATAAGCCAGAGTCACTTGACAATACAGGTTAATGAAGATAGCTTGGTTTAGGATGTAAGAAGTAGCAAATAAGAAACTAGACATAACAGGCCAAGCAGTGATTTAGTTACCATATTTTCTATGTGGTCATTCTGGTTCTGGCAACTCAGAACATACAAGTAGCCTCCTACAACAGTATTCCAAATGTGATATAGTCAATCAAGTATAAATTTAAATCAACTCAATTTGGTATTGATTCCCAACTATTGGAAAACCTCAGATATTCTTGAAACATCAGAGCCATAGAAATTTTTCTTTTTAGTGGGAGGATTCAAGAATTCTAAACATAAATCCAAGATTTTTAAGAAAAGTAAAAGAAAAACAATGAACATCTTTGGAGAATAGTTAGATGCCCAAGTAAGATAAGCTACAAGTTCAAATGATCATCATATTTCAAGCATAGTGTTAAAAAATACCCAGTACATAAACAGGCCAGGCCTGGTGATGTTAGCTTACAAAGCCAGCAACTTCAGAAGTTAAAAGCTGTTCTGAGGTTAAAGTGAGACTGAAAACAGTAACCGGTTATTTTGGCACAAATCTCTAATCCTGAGAATTGGGAAGACCAGAAGTTCAAAACCAGACAGGGCTACAGAAAAGGGAGTCAATTAGAGCTTCCTGGCAGCTACATATTGTTAGATTGACAATGTTTGGTGGTGGTAAGTAGAGGCACAACTCCTTGAAGAGAGGGCTTCCTGACTCAGCATTAGCAACAAAAAATCCCCACCTTCTTTAAGAAATGGCTTTCTGGTTTGTGGTGGTAGCACAAATGGCTCTGATGATTGTCAGGAGGCCTTGGACAGGCTGAAGCTGGACCACAGGAAGCATGGTTCGTCTGGCCAGACTGAAGGGTATCCGCATGGAACTAATACACCTCTGCATCCACATCTGTATCTATTATTTTTGAGGTAGGGTCATGTGCAGGCGAGACTGGCTTCAAACTGGATGTGCAGACAAGGATGACTACTGGTTCTCTGGTCTCTACATCTCTTGTGCCAGAATTATAAACAAGTGTTGCCCTGTCTCCCTACTCTACAGTGCTGGTGTACTGATTAGGAAATCCAACCAATCAGTGCAGACCCTGCCTGTCTGGAGAATTAACCCTTCACCTCTTAGGTCCTCAGGAGAGAAAGGATGGCCAGGGGAGGGGTACCTACTTACCAGTCTGTGTCTGGGTGTTTTCACAGTGTAACAACAATGTCTGCACTGACTAATCACAACCGTCATACCCTTATGCTTGGCAGCTTCTAGAAAAATATGGAGACGTGTTCACAGTGCACCTGGGACCGAGGCCCGTGGTCATGCTGTGTGGGACAGAGGCCATAAGGGAGGCTCTGGTGGACCAAGCTGAGGCTTTCTCTGGCCGGGGGACAGTTGCTGTGCTTGACCCAATTGAACAGGGATATGGTGAGATAAGGGACAGGGTGAAGTGGCAGATGTGGTCTGGGAAGATGTGGGTGAGAGGTGGAGCCCGAGCTGTGGGGAAGGACTCAGGGTCTTTGAACTTCTATTATAACCCAGCCATGCTTCCCCTACATACTTAGATGTGATCTTTGCTAATGGAGAACGCTGGAAGACCCTTCGGCGATTCTCTCTGGCCACAATGAAGGATTTTGGAATGGGCAAGCGGAGTGTGGAGGAGCAGATTCAGGAGGAGGCCAGATGTGTGGTGGAGGAGCTCCAGAAATCCCAGGGTGAGTCCCAGAGAATGGACAGAAAGTAAACTGGTAATATAGGGACCTGAGTGCAGAGCCTAAAAAAGAGAAAGAGACATACAATGGTAGAGAAACACACAGACAGACACACACACAGAGGCACACAAACACACACGTACACATACGCACACACACACACACACACAGAGAGAGAGAGAGAGAGAGAGAGAGAGAGAGAGAGAGAGAGAGAGAGAAGAAACACTGAGTTTGGTATTGAACTGACATGGGCAGAGGTGGAAAGACAGAATCACAAGGGCAGGATAGAAATGCGATTTATTTTGTTTCCAAAATAACTCAGAAGAATTTACTGCCCATGGTGGTCACTTCCCTTCAGAAAATCAGTCTGTAAATTAATTTTCTTTGTCAATTGGATAGTTTTGTTTCATTGATTCATCAAGCACTAATGATGTGGGATTTTCTTCTGAAGGCTGTGAATATGTTTTATTAATAAAGAAGCTACTTTTGCCTATAACAGGGCAGAATAGAGCTGCTTTCTCCCTGAATGTAGGGAGATAGCCTAAGGTATTGGCCAAACAATGTTGTAATTTATGTAGTTTATATAGTTTCTGTTTGATTACTTGTGTCTGGGTGACCAGGAAATGAATGAGCCATCTCCATTTACAAAGTAGCACCCAAATATTTGGAAACATGCATTCATAAAAAGCCCCAGAACACATCAAAAAAGGGCTTCTAGACCAACAAAAATGGGAGTCAATTAGAGCTTCTTGGTAGCTGCATATTGTTAGATTGACTCTGTTTGGTGGTGGTAAGTAGAGGCACAACTCCTTGAAGAGAAGACTTCCTAACTCAGCATTAGCAACAAAAAAATTCCCACCTTCTTTAAGAAATGGCTTTCTGGTTTCTGGTGGTATCACAAATGTCTCTGGCTCTGGCTCCATTGGGAGGTTCAGCACTTAAAAGTGGTCTGTGGTCAGGTTGTTACAAACTGCTTAATGGTGAATAGACCTGCTATGTCTCTGGAGCTGGGGTGATAAAAATGGCTTGCAGTGGCGGTGAACATACCTCTGCCATGTTGAACTGTGAAAGCCAACAGGCAAATCTGTAGTGTTAGTCCTAGTCAAGCCTACTTAGTATTTGAACAAAAAAGGCTCTCCTGGTCAGAAAATGATTTCAGACCCACAATAATACAGATTCAGTTGAAAAAGACTTCTGAATGGATCACAATGTTGAAAAAAATGTATATGGGCTTAGGAGAGAAAAAGAAGAAAGAGTACAGACAGTCATAGATTAAAGGAGTAAAGATGATAAAATAAATATTAAAAAGTAATAGAGAATAAAAAGGCATGTAAAGATATAAAAAACACAAAGAGACCAAACTATATATATATTATTGTGTTTTCCTTGGATTTTTGACTACTAATGAGGTAACGACTGAAAAAAATTTGATTCCAGGGCTGCTTTGCTAAACATATATATATATATATATATATATATATATATATATATATATATATAAAAGTATCTTGACTTCAAAATTTGAGTCTAAAGATACGATATTTGGAAAAGAGGTTTTGCTTTTATTTCTAAGGAAGATTAATATCTGAATTCTTTCTAAGATAATGTGGTTTGATTAAACAAGATCCCCTGAAAGTTCTCCAAGAACCCTAAAAATACTTAGGCCAACAAATAGCAGGAAGCAGTTTGGAGCAAGCAACACCCAGAATCTCAAAATGATTGTTTATAAATGCTTGTTTTATTTAAAAGGGTTTGGGTATAAATAGTTTATGGTCACAGTCAATTTCTTTTTTTAAAAAAAGAATAATATGATATAGAGATGTATACTTTGCATTAGTATGGATCTTGGACTATTAATACAAATTTAGGACTGATTTTGTTAGACTGTGTATATTTATTTCTGCTCTCATTTAAGTTTTTGTGTCTGTGCAGCTCATTTAAAATTAAATGAATAATTTAAAATTACAGATTAATTGATAGTCATTTAAAATAGTCAAATACTGTCATGTTAGTTACGTTTTCTAGATATACAGAATACATTTCAGTTAGATAATCTTCAACACCTCAAAGACTGACAGAATATGGTACTTAAAATATTTTAAGAACTTAGACTTTTCTCAAGAGTAAGACATTTCTGCCTCTGGCAGCACCAACTACTTCAGTAAGGTTATTAGTCATTGAAGAAACTCATTATGGAATTTGCCTTCAACATCACAAGGCTAACCATTTGGGCAAGAAACTGTTGTTGCCTGAACTGGCCATGCACGACCCCACAGAAAATGACTGCTGAACTTGCTTAAAAAAAGGTGAGACAGTCCTTCAGGGTTTCTGCTTCATGAAAGAGTCTGCCAGACAGTTGGCAGGACACAGAATAAAGTGACTGACAAACTGCCAATATAGGCAATATAGCCTATCAAATTTTCTGCTTTATGGAAAAGACTACCAGATATTATGGGCCTGTAGGCTAAAGATGGATACCCAAATCTTGCAGAAGAACTTTGGATGACTGTCCAGGCAACGAGATGTATCCATCACTTCTAGAGTTCTAGAAGTTGCTTACAATGCATTTTATGATTACTTAGGCAATATCATAGACTTCTGGGAACTTTGATGGAGTTGAAGGCAGAGAGTAATATTTTTCTTAGTTATGATAAAAGATAAATTAGATATGAAACTTTGCAGTTACAAATAGACTAAACATTGTAGGTGTATTCTTTTTTGATACATTTTGTTATATATAATTTTATTATGTTAAAGTTCAAGCCTTCCTTTTTATTTAGACAGAAAAAGGTAAAGATGTGGTATTCTCCTCTGTATAATGTGAATATGTTTTATTAATAAATAAGCTGTTTTGGCCTATGGCATGGCAGAATAGTGCTAGGTGGAGAAAACTGAATTGAATGAATGTAGATAGAAGGCAGAGTCAGGGAGATGCTAAATAGGAAAGATGCCAGAACCTTACAGGTAGGACACATCATCATGGAAATACACAAATTAATAGAGATGGGTTGATTTAATGTGTAAGAGCTAGGTAGGAATACGTCTAAGCTATTGGCCAAACAGTGTTGTACTTAATATAGTTTCTGTGTGATTATTCTAGTTAGGATGGGCAGGAAATGAATGAGAGGTCTCCACTTAAAAAACTAAAAATAATGCCTTATAGGATTTGCCACAGTGTGATTTTATGGGCTCATTTTCTCCACTGAAGTTCTTTTCTCTCAAATGACCCAAGCTTGTATCAAGCTGACATTAAAGCTACCCATCAGAGCTACCCAGAGGTTCCAGAGGCTCCTCTGCCAGGTTTCAGGCTCTCTCCTCCTGACTCCTAAGTCTCCCCACTCCTGCATCTCTTGCTTCTCCTTCTATTTCTCTCAGATTTGGCCATTACCAGCCAGAGATACCATGGGAACTCTCAAGAAATCTCATCTTGTTATATTGGAGATGAGATCCAAACCCTGTTCATCACAACTGTGCAGGAAGTTCTCTTATCTGATGAGCCACAATTAAAATGTTAACAAATGATCTGTACCATGTATCTGTGCATCAGCTCCTTATTTGAAAATCTATGTATCTATCTAATATCTGTATATCCATGTATTATCTATTTGTTTATCAATCAATCTATCTTTTTTATCATCATATCATCATCATCATCATATTCGTGATTTGTGAGTGTGTTTGTGAATGGTCCTTATGCATATCTTATATCTGAAGAAACCAAAGAGATCATCAAATCCCACAAATCTGGTATTAAGGCAGTTTTTAGCTATCCGACATGGGAGGTGGGATAAAACTCAGAGCCCCTGCAACAACATCAGTGTTCTTAGCCACTGAGCCACCTCTCCTGCCCTACCTATTAAGTTTTGATATAAGATATTTTTGACCTGGGTCACCTCTCAGGAAGCCCACCTCCAAGAATTTTAAAAATGAGCACTTTTTTTTTACCACTGATGTTGAACATCAAGATTGGTCCCTGTCTCAGCCCCCTGTAGTCACTACTTCCCACTATCTCGATACACCATCAACTGCACGTGTGTTTGAACATTATTTAGATGCATCAAATGGGAACAAAACTTTCTGTTGTTCAGCATTAAGTTGGCAAGTTTCACTTATACTGTTGATCTAGTTTGAGGCTTGTTAGTTCATTGTTGCATAAGATTTGATGCTGTGACCCCATCTAAAAAAATAAATTCATCAACATCAAACATGTGCAGAGTTTTTTCTTAGCATGGTCCTCTAAACAACACTGGGCACTGACCATTTTCATAGCCTTCATTTCTATTAGCTGCAGTGCAATCTAGAGAGAGTAAAGGTTACAAGAGGACAAGGGAGGGTTGTTTGCAAACATTGCACCATGCTCCTCAAGGGCTCTCAGCACTAGAGTGTTTTCATGTTTTTGGGACCAATTCCCTGTAGATGACCTGATTGTTGCATTGCCAGGCATTTTTTTCCAACTGTCCATACTGCAGTCATGACTCACATTCATGACCACTACTAGGTGACTATCACTTTCACTCACATGTAACCCAGTAGATGGGTCAGGGAAGTTTTCTCTGAATGTTGTCAGGAGGCCTTGGACAGGCTGAAGCTGGACCACAGGAAGCATGGTTCACCTGGCCAGACTGAAGGGTATGGGCACAGAACTAATGCACATCTGCATCCACATCTGTATCTATTATTTTTGAGGTAGGGTCATGTGTAGGTGAGACTGGCTTCAAACTGGATGTGCAGACAAGGATGACTACTGGTTCTCTGGTCTCTACATCTCTTGTGCCAGAATTATAAACAAGTGTTGCCCTGTCTCCCTACTCTACAGTGCTGGTGTCCTGATTAGGAAATCCAACCAATCAGTGCAGACCCTGCCTGTCTGGAGAATTAACCCTTCACCTCTTAGGTCCTCAGGAGAGAAAGGATGGCCAGGGGAGGGGTACCTACTTACCAGTCTGTGTCTAGGTGTTTTCACAGTGTAACAACAACATCTGCACCAACTGACCATAACCGTCATACCCTTATGCTTGGCAGCTTCGATAAAATTATGGAGACGTGTTCACAGTGCACCTGGGACTGAGACCTGTGGTCATGCTGTGTGGGACAGAGGCCATAAGGGAGGCTCTGGTGGACCAAGCTGAGGCTTTCTCTGGCCGGGGGACAGTTGTTGTGCTTGACCCAATTGAACAGGGATATGGTAAGATATGGGACAGTGTGGAGTAGAGGATGTGGTCTGGGAAGAAGTGTGTGATGGTGGAGCCTGAGCTGTGCGGAAGGACTCAGGATCTTTGAACTTCCATTGTAACCCACCTTTGCTTCCCCTACATTCTTAGGTTTGGTCTTTGCCAGTGGTGAACGCTGGAAGACCCGTTGGCGATTCTCTCTGGTTACCATGAAGGACTTAGGAATGGGCAAGAGGAGTGTGGAGGAGCGGATTCAGGAGGAGGCCTGATGACTGGTGGAGGAGCTGCGGAAATCCCAGGGTGAGTACAAGAGAATGGGCAGAAAGGAAGATGGTGACACAGGGACCTGAGTGCAGAGCCTAAGAAAGAGAAAGAGACAGACAATGGAAGACAAACAGATAGACATACAGACACACACAAACACACAGTGGCACACATACACACACAGAGGGAGAGAGGCACAAAGGACACACTCGTGTTGGGATGAGGAGATAAAGAGAGGAGGGAAGAGAGATTCACAAGGATGGGAAAGAAATGTGAGGTATTTCATTTGCAAAATAACTCAGAAGCACGTACTGCCCATAGTGGTCACTTCCATTCAGAGAATCAATCTGTGAATTAACTTTCTTTGTCAATTCGATAGTTTTGTTGGACACTAATCCTCTCAAAACTCAGAAGGTAAGCTAAGGTGCCATTAGTTCAAGCCAGCCCTGTCTACATTGTGAGGTCCTGCCTTTGATGTGTCTATGGCTGAGTTGTGGAGAGCTTACAGCACCATATACAGTGGGCATGGTCCTGCATGTGTGTAATCCCAGCACTCCAGAGGTGGAGGCAGGAGGGTGAGATTTTCAAGGTCCTCTTCTACTGCACCAAGTGTTCAAGACCATTTTGACTTAATCATTGTAATTTCCAGCATCCCTGCCCCCCCCTCCACGGTCTCACACAGACCCAGAGGCCCTGCTGAGATGACCTGACCAGTATTACTACAATTTTTCTGCAGTTTGAATTCTGTTAGCTTTGGAGCTGAGATGCAGACTCAACATCTGACTGCTTTAATCTTTGGGACACAGCACTCATTTTCATTAAAATATTGGAACTGAGAACTAAAACCTAAACTTTCCCCCTAGGGAAAGAAAGACCCAAATTAAAAAAATGACTGAAACCCTCTTCAGTTAAGAAGGGGGACAGTCTAAGGGTTTAACTGCTGCTCAGAGACTGAAAGTGGTATTTGATAACACCAATGTCATTGTATTCTTACACATCAGAAATGCTTTTCTTATCTTTTGATTAATGTGGCTTTAAGAAAATTTGATATGTTTGTCAATTCATTGTTATGGTTTTGATCTAATAATGATGATATTTGTAACTGCATATAAGATGTTGAGGAAAGTTGGTATTGACCAATAATTCTGAGAATCATGGTATTGAAATTGCTTATAGATGTTGAGAAAGGTTTGACACACCCTGTATATGTTTGGATTTAATGCATATGTTAAGAATTTTAGATTTTGATATAATGTGAAAATTTTAATAGCTGTTCTAAACTAGCTGAAGAAGCATTCTCAACTCTGGTGATCCTTTTCTCCTTTAAATAGGAGACTACAGCCTTTCGGAGCATGATTATTCATAAAACATTATAATTTATTCTGGACAAGAAAGTATGGCTCTGAGTTACAGAGCTCAATGGTATCTCTCTCCCTTACTCCCTTTTCTTCACAGAGATCAGCAGTCAATAACGGGTTTGAAACATCTCCCCAGATGCCTAAGACAGGGGCTTGCATAAATAAAATTCCTGTTTCAAGGACAGAAAATATTTGGGTAAATGAGGAAGTCTTTGCTCAGGCCAGGCCTGTTCTGTCCTGCTGCAGAAGCACAGGTTTTATTACAATTAATAAGAGAGAGAGGATTGTAGGCCCATATTTCTATATGGTATGGCATTCAGTATCTCAAGCCATAGGCCACACCTGAAGTAGTTATGTACCCTTCCAGAAAGGCTGTTGCTACCCTAAGAAAAAGTCAGGATGTTGTTTTGCTCCTTTCTTTGCAATTTGGAGGATGCCTGAAAAGAGGTGTTAATTCAGTCTATGTGAGAGAGCTAGCATACAGAACAGGAAAATATGACAGCAAGCATCGGTAGATGTGGACATGACTAAAAGCCATTCACTTGGTTACCAAGGAAACAGAATGCTAATGAATTTTTCCCTCAGTTTACATTTTGGTATAAAGGGTATTTGGAGAATAAACAAAGAGGAATTTTTCAGGATATGAACCACAGATTTCATGAGGAAACTCATAGAATCTCCTCTCCTCATAAAGCCATATGAATTGTGTCTTTATTCCCATGCCTCCACGGTGGTTTAGAGAAATAATTTATACTCCCAGCTGCGACCTGACCACGACACTATTTCATTCTTCCATAGCCAACATCATCGGCTCTTTGATATTTGGTGAGTGCTCTAATTTCTAGCATCCCGAATTTGTACATTAACCCAGTTCACTCAGTGAAAGATTCACTATTACCAGCTCTTTCTATAGACTGCTAAGGTCAGAGATTATACCATGATCTATGAATCAGTATGGGTGAAGTCTCAGAATAGACCAGGGGTCTAGAAAACAGAGACAAGAAGCTTCGAGAGGTCAGATTTCTAAAGAATTAGAGATTATTTTAGTCTCTGTGTTTCTGAGGAAGCTGTCACTCAATGGGTAACCAGCAAAATCCATAGCAACTGAAGAAGGGTTGATGTGTGAAGTGAGGCATGTTCAGATGGAAGAGTGTGCACCCAGCTGCATGGAGCCCTGGGTCTGAGCCTTGGCATCACATGAAGAGATTGTACTAAGACAATCTTTTTTTTTTTTGACTTTTATTTTTTTCTTTATCTTTTTTTAGTTGTTAAAAAAACTTCTGCGTCCTCCTCATTTCCCATTTCCCTCCCCCTCCTCCCACACATTGCCCTTCCCCCACTCCCTTCCCTCTCTCCCCCTCCCCCCACTCCATTCCCCAGACCTCTCCAGAATGAAGAGCAGTCCAGATTCCCTGCCCTGCGGGAAGTCCAAGGTCCTCCCACTTCTATCCAGGTCCAGGAGGGTGAGCATCCAAACAGGCTAGGCTCCCACAAAGTCAGTTCATGTATTAGGATAGAAACCTAGTGCCATTGTCCTTGGCTTCCCATCAACCTTCATTGTCCACCATGTTCAGAAAGTTCGATTTCATCCCATGCTTATTCAGTCCCAGTCCCGCTGGCCTTGGTGAGCTCCCAATAGATCAGTTCCACTGTAACAGTGGGTGGGTGCACCCCTCGTGGTTCTGACTTCCTTGCTCATGTTATCCCTCCTTCTGCTCCTCA